TAATTTGTGCAGAATTTAGTGGATTAAAGAGGAGGTGCTCTAGTTGTTAAAATCTTTCCAAAGTTTAATAAAAAAATACCCTTAGCGGGGTAAATAAAAACTGCCTACGGAGGTATATGACGTTATGCCGTACCCTTAAATTCGAATCCTTTTTGGAACGTGGAAGGTATGGTGACTTATTGAAAGTATCGGACGTGTTGACCCATATCAGTAATTTAACCCCAGGGTCGGTCACCTCACGGTACCATGCCAGTTATACAACACCTTCCTGGTTTAAAAAAGTTACTCCATACAGTTTTGTTATGCTATCGATAATAGATACATCTGATTAAATGTGCCTTGGGAGGGAGGCTGAAATGTTATTTATGGGTAGTATGGTTAGCATTGTTGTACAGTTGAGAGACGTGGATAATTGTATGGTTGCAGGAGACCGTTAATAAACCTTTTAAGATATTTTGTTTATATTGATATTCTGTAACATCTCTCAGTATTGCGATATTTGTCAGGTAATTTTACTCTTCACATAATTGGTACGTGTCAACTGTTAACACACTCTCAGGTGGTAATGCGGCAGTTGATACTTGACAGACTTACGGCAAACAAAACATTCCTTCCCGTTCCAAAACTAACTCCATCATGCAAATCCTTGAGATATGTCAGATATCCTCAGTATTCATGACTTCTCTCACATAAAATTCACCAACTTCGTCATTCGTCAACGTTCTGAACTTTTGCAGCCAGACACCCGCGTACCAGAGTAGTGTCGCATCTCCAGTGTTGCCCAAGTATGACGTATCCGTCCGTATTTGATGCCGTTCCCCGCAGCCCCTGTACAGTGTAAGAGTTGCTCTATGGTAATGCCAGACACCATTTTCAGGGTATAGGATGTCAGAAAAATGACCAGAATTCCTGAATGTTAGGTTGCGGGCTATTAACAAAAAATGTGCAATGAAAATGGTGTAAAACTCGGGAAGTGAAGACTACAGCCTCGTGAGTTCGTCATTAGGGATCTGCATAAAAATAAACCGCTGTTAAACCACTTCACAATTAATCATAACACCTCACAGGCATTTAGCTTAAAATAACCCTTGTGGGGGTGCTGGTGGTAGAGTGGTACCGCTCTTGCCTTCGCAAGCGAGATGTCACGGGTTCGATTCCCGGGCCGGTGGAAGTTGTTTGGACATACTTCCTAGCCCCCATTAGTCCCTGTTCACCTAGCAGTAAAGTAGGTACCTGGTGTAAATCGAAAGTTGCGAATTCGTATTCAGGGACAAGTTGTTGGAGCTTCCAATAGCTTGATGACATAAAACCATTGACTCCTCAGGCTTCTACTCCCTTAACTCATGAGACATAAAGGCAAGCATGAACTTAGCATGCTTCCCTGTTGGGCGCTGTAAACGCTTCTGCGCTTCACCTTACACAAGATTGTAGGGGAGTGTCCAATAAAAAAAAAATAAAAAATAACCCTTGTTTTCAGTAGTTGCAACTATTGGCCGACAAGCGTTCAGGCAGTGTTGTGCTTCTTGCCATGACTCCCACTATGGTTGCTGAATGTGGTGTTAAATGTATACCTCCAGTGATAACAACGATACTGTATGTGTGTGTTACCACACATTGAGGGCGACCTCAGATATCACACTTGTATATGTATTAGTGATTTTTATCCCCTGCCACGGCAGAGCTGAAGGCTCTGTCTGTTGTTGGTCCTCCCGTGTTTAAAACCCCGTGTTTGTGAAGTAACTTTACCACATGTGATTAAATTTTAATGTAGCGCTATAATCTTCTTACATAGTTATACTGTAACACTTAGAATAGAAAGGATTGGTCGTTTGTAGGCTGGGTGTAATAAGTGCCATAGTAGTGTTCCTAATATTAACATCGTATTTTTTGTCAAATAATTTTACTGTTCATTTATTCTCGTAAATATGAGTCATCATATATATATATATATATATATATATATATATATATATATATATATATATATATATATATATATATATATATATATATATATATATATATATATATATATATATATATATATATATATATATATATATATATATATATATATATTATTATTTTTTGGTATTCAGAAAGCTGCTCAATGGTTATTTTCACTTGTTTACAAAGCAGAGTTTCTACAGTGTAATCAGTGAGCAGCGAGGAACCTGACACACATCTATACAAAAACTAATAATTATGAGGAGTGAGTATTGTTGCTCTTCGTGAGGGTTGTAGACACCGTAATAGAGTTGTCAGTCAGTGTTTTTTTTTATTATTTAATCTTTGAAAGGGATAATAAATCAGTTTCTTTATAAGACAGAAATTGGGCGCTTAAATGGTGGATGGCCTGTGTGTGTGTGTGTGTGCGTGCGTGTGTGTGTGTGTGTGTGTGCGCAGTAGTGGCATTTGTGTGTGTGTGTGTGTGTGTCAAATTCATTTGTAACAATCATATACACAGATCGTTTACACCTAAACAAATATTTCACCTTTGTTCCCTGAGACAGTTTACGTTAATTTTCTTCCCCCTCACAGACGACATTTAGGAAAGACTTTTGTATATTATTATGACCCTGTACTGTATTATTATTATTATTATTATTATTATTATTATTATTATTATTATTATTATTATTATTATTATTATTATTATTATTATTATTATTATTATTATTATTATTATTATTATTATTATATGCACAGGTTGTCCGGAGTTCATCTTCAAAACGACCCCCGTGAAATTTTATGAGATGATACAAGTTAATGAGACGATTTGCATAAATTCTTTTGTAGGTCAAAGTTGAACCCTCTGATTGCTAAAGGGTTCCCTGAGCTGAATAAAATCATTAGGTGTTGGCCAGAATAAACTTGTTACAGTCGTTCATAGCTCACAGAGGACTAAAAAATTTTCTGTCATAGGTTCTGCATCGATCACTGTGATGAGCTCCTATTCAAAATGTCTCAAAGGTCAGGGTCATCATAGCTATCAAAGGTCGAACTACCTGGAGCTTAACTCTTGTATCAACATAGATATACTAAACAGACTTGACAAGGATATGTTTCATGACGAGACGAAATGTTAGCTGCTAATTTCAAGTTCTTTCAGAGATCAAGATAACAGATGAAGGCTAAACTTAAAAAAAAAATTATAATTGATTTGGGTTATTAGTGCTGATGTATCAATGGAACTCAGTGGATATATCTTATCACTATCAATAGACAATGCGCAGAACCCGAAAATCAAACGTGTGTCAAAGTTCAAGGTCATTGCTGAAGGTTAAAGGTTAAAATATTATCCATACAATAGCTTGTATCAATACCGATGTTTTAATTACACTTTACATAAGTTTGTATCATTGGTAGGTAAAGTGTATAACATCAACGTCTATAACACAGATCAAGGTCACATGTGTGGAGCATAATTCTTGTGTTGATAAAGATAGAATGGTGAAACATCACCCTTTACACATTAAAGTCACTGCTGAAGGTCAAAGCCTTTTCTAGATCATAACTATTGTCAGTGCCGGATTTAGACTGTGGAGGCCCATGGGCAGCCTCTTTGTGGAGGCCCCCCCTCATTATAACTACCCTAGAGGGTGGGGTGGCGAGTGAAGCGAGCCTAAACATCTGGGAGTTCCGGGGTGTAAGCCCCCCGGGAAAATTTTGTAATTTGTACAATTCTTTGGAGAATTTTAAAGCCACATGCAGTTATATTGAGGAAATTAGAACATTGCGAAATTTTTAAATAACTGTATATTTATTGATAGTGTACAAATTCCCAACACACACACACACACACAAAAGTGAGACATGACTGGAGTCAGTCATGTGGTTTCAAGTCGACCAGCCCTGATATAGCTACTACCGCATGTCAAAAATTTTCAAGAGACTTCACAGAAAAGAATATATTATTAGTTATTACAGAGAGATGATTCTTTGCATTATTAATCAGATAAACCTCTACTCAAATAATGGTTCTGTCCAAGAATGCATGTACCTGTATAGGCTTCTTTAAGTCCAAGGTCAGATGTAATATGTGGAGGCCCCTGGGCAGCTGCCCACTTTGCCCACTCCTGAATCCGGCCCTGACTATTGTGTCCATTTAGATATTTTGATAGTACTTCAGATGAATATTTATCATCACTAGATAAATTGTACAGCACTAAATTCAGGTTGTGTGTCACATTTTAAGGTTACAACTGATGCTGTCTATTTTTAATTATCATTAGCTGTTTAATTATCAGGTGAAATAGGAGAATAATCCTAGTTTCATGAGAGCCTTTACAGGTCCTTTATTTTATTTATTTATTTTTAAAATAGACGCATGTGTAGATTATTCTTTTTAATGGCTATCACTCGTATATTTTGATAATTATACTATATATTGTAATGGCAAACCTCGTATAATTACAGTTTTTGAGATTTTTATATATTTCTCTGAACTAGTATCTATCAGTTCCTCTCAGTTTGATCGAATTAAAGATTTTAAGAATTATTTGAATTTTTGGTGAAGGAAATGTGCATTTGTTATATTTTTTCATAAGGAAATAAAGTTTTACCAACACAAGCCATTTAGTTATTTTTTGCCAATTTTGAATCTTCCTTCAGATATATATATATATATATATATATTTATTCTGTAATCTGTAAAAATTAGTTTTTATCCAAATTTCCCCAATTGGTATGAGAAGTAATTCTAGTGTATTGACCTAACATAAAAAAAGAATCCAAGTAATAATGGTAAAAAATGAAATAAATTCCAAAATACCTATTGGGATAAAAACGAATATTAACCCTGTAATCATTCAGCGATCTTCATGATACAGTGATAGTCTGTTCTCTACACTGCTGGCACTAAGGATCACCTTTATGTTTTTCCACATTGTCTCTCCAGCTTTTCCTGGATCATTTGTGAGTCCATCAGTGCTTTTATACTGCCACAAATACTGAACTTATGTAAATAATCAGCACTAATTTAATTTTATCATTTCCAGGTATCTTGAAACGTGACGGTTGCGGAGGGTCACGAGAGGCCCAGCGAGACAGTCCTCGATCTATCCTCAAGCATTCTTCATGTGACTCTCGTCGTGCCTCCTTCTCTGAGTCTGAACACCCGAGGGGAATACTGAAATCTGACAGTCCATTGCCTCCTTCTATTGGCTCTCCAGAACATGATGCTAAGCTGCTCAGAGGAGTACTAAAGAAAGACTCTAGCTTAGAAGACTCCAAGGAAATTAAGTCGATACTAAAGCCTGAGTCTGAGTGCCTAGAACCAGACCATTCATCTGATTCATCCTCAGGTAAGAGATCACTTGTAATTAATTTAAATGTTAAAAGACTTATGCTTCAGTTGGCAAAGATTTCATTTGTAATGATGCCACCTTGAAATTTTTGCTCTCCATTTTTTACTAACTACAGTACTGTACTGTACATTGTGAAATCCTTTAAAGACACACAGTACTGCCCAGGGTAAAATAAAAGATATATACATCCATGGAAATACAGGTTATGTCATGTCATTGACAGTCCTTAAAGCTTATTAATGAAAATCAAATTCGTCAACCACCCCAGATTTCTTTTCTGGCCCAAAACACTATGGAGGCCCCCAGGATTGTATCAGATTGTTGAGCTTCATATTATTAATCAACAAAGTGGAGTACTGTACAACATCTAACTACTCAACAAAACTATTATTATAGGGGATCATAAATCAGCACTCTGGAAACTAAACACTCAATGTTATGAGTTCATTCAGATGGCCAGGAAGGTTTGGAGGAACAATATGTATTATCTGAAGAGGTAAAGCTGGTCAATGACTAGCAGTCACTCTGTCTTTTCAAGTTATTCATCTTCTACCATGGCAGTGGAGAGTTGCCATCCTTCAAAAGTGTGGAAGAAATATAACAGGATATGAGCTTTGAAATACTTTATGACTAAAGCATTTTTTTAAATCGGATTACATTATTATGATATTCATCTTATGCCTTATTTTATTTAAACAACACATTTTATTCTCTATATCTCATTCAGTTATCTAATATCCTAGGCAGATATACGTAAAGCCTCATCTCGAATTGCGTTTTCCCTTTTTCACTTACATTACATTTTGTAAAGAATGTCCCTTATATCTCCTGACTAGTTACTGTCACTCAAATTTTAATAAAAAAAAAAATATGAACAGTTATGTACAGGTAGTGACAGTTGGTAAATTATTTTCATCATAATAGTATACAGTTAAGTACAGTCGGGGTCAACAGTCTTGAACACTTGGCAGTTGTCATGGTTTTGGTGTATCGGTGGTAGTCAGAGTGGATTATATTATATAAAGATTATAATATGTTGTGTTTCTTATTTCTTACCGTAGAATTCGATACCTTCACACTGGTTACTTACAGGAGATTATGGCGTATCTACGTAGAAGTTCACTCCACCACTCGACATTCCATGATTTATACTTGATAAATGATGATTTAATGATTTCCATTAATTTCCAACATCCATCTAAGTTATTGGTTATACTTTGTCATAACCAATCAGTCATTACCTTTAGTAATAATAAGATAGGATCACAGATTCGGGCAGATAATTGCACTTACATTTATTTGTCAAGCTTCCATACAATGATTTACAATTAGCATGGATATATTATTCACTCACGTTCACGCTGTAATAAAAGTAATCTTCTAAAAGAGGGAATTTTCAACTTGGGGACACGTGATTACTCTACTATGGGTATGACTTAACATAGCCTCAATTCTTCAAGTGATACATTTACTGCCAGCCTGGATTGCTTTTGTTGCAACCAGGCTTCATCACAAGAACTTCTTTCCACGGGCAATAACAAAAAAAAAAGTACTCTTGGGTTACCACACATAGTCTCGCGTCACTGACAGTCACTGCAGACGGTTGTTGCAGCAAGGAGAACTGGTAAGTGTGACTTGAATTAACCACTTAGGTGCATTAGACCAGCCTGGATTGCTTTTGTCGCAACCAGGCTTCCACACGTGATATTTCCACCGGGATAACAACCTAGGTTAACACACTTAATCTCGTGTCGACGACGGTCCACAGGGCGGAGTGGCGGTGGAGGACTCTGTGTGGTGTGGTGTCCCGCTCCCTTCAGGAGGGAGAGAATGGGGATGTCTTAACTAACCCATGGCCAAGGGGATACTACTTAAAATGAGGTTTTTTGGTGTGAAGCGATGAACAGGACAACACTGTCTCACTGCCCCTCCCCTAAAGGCTGGCTAACATACCACTAATGGAAAATATATGTCCGAGTTATGCCTCGCCGGGTGCCTTATCTCTAGTAAAACAAACTTTGGAAATGGTTGCGTGGGTAAGCCTAACGCAACCCATGACAACAGTATTTGGTATGTAAGTACCCGGAGATCTTGGGTATTAAGGAGTTTTATCCCATTTTGTGGTTCAGGCAGAAGTAGATGCCAGATATTGCTAAGTGTTCAAGACTTTTGACCCCGACTGTACACTGTAGTTAGAGTTTTTACTCTTATTATATCTGTTCAGGAGTTGTTGTTCCTTAAAACTTAGCTAGCTTGCACATTGTTTTTTGTCTCCCCACTTTGATAAGTGAGAATATATTATTGACTAAAAACAGATTACACAGTACAGTAATTGTATATGAGCAAATTGATCTATAAATATGAAGTACTGTAGAGTTAAATAGGAAGTAAATCTTTAATGAAATGGAGTTAGAAATTCAGTAAACTTAACCTTTATAACAGATGATGTGACCCTCACTACAGCCAACACACCACAAGGACCAGAGTGTGATATAGCTGAATCCATCCGGGACATTGATCCCATCCGACACAAGGATGATACGCACAAGAGTGACACCCCACACAAGGTTGATCCCTTCAAGACTGAGCATCACCGGGCAGATCTTGCAGACGCATTAAGGCAAGTTGAACCAATCAAATCAAAGGATGATCTCGCTGAAGCTCTGAGACAGATTGAACCAATCCATTCTAAGGAGCGAAGTAGAGAAAAGGAAGACAAAGGGAAGGACGAGACACAGATAACCAGCGTCAGAGAAATCTCTTCTTTCACTAAGGCGACATCAAGTATGGCAACCATGGTGGTGACAGCAGCAAATGTATCATCACCATCTTCGGCAGCTACAACAAACTCTTCATCATCAACATCTGAGAGTGAACACAAAGTGATCAAGAATGAAGCTGTCATGAGACGAAGGACTGCCCATTCAAGAAGATATGATGAGAGGTAAGTACAATGATACAACATATGTTCATACATTTGACACATTTTATAAATTTTGGAAGAGAGGTGATTGAAAATATATTTTTAATGATGGGTACTGTATTCTTTATTTTTAAGTTATAAAAGTTTAACTCTAAAATGTATTAATGTAACTACTTAAACTGTACGATACATCTTTGCTGTATCTTAAATGCTGATTTTTTTATTAAGTCTTCACAAAGTGGAGCACATTCAAAACCTATTTTTATCTGTACCTCAATTACGTTTCCCTTATTTAGAGTACGGTTCTGTCCAGTCTCTGACATGAGGATTATTTTTCTCCTTTGTGTCCTCAGTTACACATTGCTAATAACATCCCTGACCTTAGTTGCAGTATACTGTAATAGGGATGTGAGAGAATGAAAGTTGAAGTTACTGTAGAAATTTCCTTGTTTTGAGAGACAGACTTTGTGTTTTTGTAGCACTGAATGTACCATGGTGCCCCATTGTGTTATGAACTCGATATTTGTGTTCAAAGTACAGATAATTCAATACTGTATTGTACTGTATATAGACAGTCTACCAGAAGACCGTAATTGGAATGGGTACAGTATTAAATTATTGTAGAAGGATAAACTCTTTTATATTAGAATCATTTGCAGCGGAGTTTGTACTCCTGAAAGGTATAGATTAAGAAGAAGGTGGGAGTAAGAATTGAGCCAGTGTTAATAAGAAAAGACAGTAGCCAGAATCTGCTCCATCCACTACTACACTGTACATGGATGTGGCATATAAAGGGAAAGGAGGACATCCAAAAATAAAAAAATGAGGGAGGTGTAAAGAAGAAAGTCTAGTAAGGAGAGAGTAATAGTTTTAGATTAATCTTGAGCAACAAGATATGATTTATCGAATTTTTCAAGTGCCTTGTCAAGATTCTGAGTCAAAAGATTAAATAGGTCTGCAGTGCTGGAGAAGAGTTTATGTTCTTGAAAGTGTTTGAGTTACTAGTTTATGATCAGTTCCATGATTTTGGAGATGCTTGAGATGAGTCATGCGACTATAGTGGAGAGGGAAAGGATGGATTATGTTTTTGAGAACTATATTAGAGGAATAAGAGAAGTTGAAAAGTTTATAGAGGACAGGAGCAAGTTCAGGTGCATGTCTTTTGAAGACGAGGGGTGAGATGCCATCAAGTCCTGGGACACTGTATAGGATTAGGCCAGAGAGGTACAAAACACTTGATGAAAATTTGGGTGAGTACTTGGAATAGGGTGAATTTAGATCTATTATTGGGGGTTGCTGTTAGCAGGGGGTGAATTAAAACAAACATGAAAACCAGAATATTTATTTATTTTGGACTTTTGTGGCAGTTGTGTGAAAAGGATGAATAAGAAGGTGTGGTTGAGCTAGAAATATCCTAAAAAGACTTCACAAAATGACCCTCCCAAAAATATTCCTATACTGTATTGCATTCAGCTTGGACGAATTGTGTTTTAGACTGAAGGAAAGATTTTTTCTTTTTATATTATATTTAACATAGTCTTGAGTAGTAATGTACCTGTATATGTTGTATGTATCTTGTCTTTATTGATGTGTACAGTGTCTGTAGGAGGGTATATGGAGTTCAGCTGCCTTTTGATGAGAAAGTTTGAACCATGTGAAGATAGAATGGGACATAAAGAGTTCCATACCAAGGTGATCTGGTGGTGAAATGTTTGGATTGTAAAAAAATATTTACATTCGTCATCCCAGTCAGCTGTCTTAGTGTCAGATAGTGCATGTCTAGGGAAGAGAAGACTGAGAGAGTAGGAATGGGTGCAAGATGCAGAAAAAACACTGATCAGAACTTTATTTTTTGTGGGGGGCACGAAGAGTATAAAGGTTTGGATGTGTTCTTAAGTACAAATTTAGAGTGTTAAATTTGTTACCAGTGTAGTCAGGATTTGTATTTGATCATCATGGAAAAAGTTTCTACATGAAATCCCTCCAAATATGCCAGAGAAGAGTGGGTGAAATGACTAATAACATGTAATGTTTATCTTAAAAATGAATGGAATGGGGGGAGTTATTCTATTTGTCGCTAATATCACTCGTAACAAAAAAGGAGGAACTTTCTGTTATATGAAATAATGTAATATTGGGTTACTGTATATTCCTTTGCTAGGAATATAAGGATTAATAGTGTGTGTGTCATCTTACATAAGCCTGGTGTGACTGAGTACTGTAATATAATGCTGTACTGTATAAGTACTAGCACACACAATGCATTATTACTCCTTCATGGCAGGTAATCCAAACAATGAATTTGCAGGACATAAACAACATATAACGGCAGAGTGTTCTCTTATTGATAAGTAATAAATATTGTTTATAAAATGACAAAAAAGGGGAGACAAATAACAGGGACCAATTGTATTGTATATAGTTTTGACATCATTTAGTTGGAGTGATTAGTTCTTTATTAAAAGGAACTCGTCTGCTTTCATTTTCTTAGATAGATTCCCAGTCCCTTTTCATTTGCTATACTGTACTGTACTTTTCAACCTATATTTTGAGTGTCCCTTAAATTGTGAAAACTTATGCACTCTTACCAACATTTTCCAGTATAAATATGAATTTAGGTGGAAAATATTCCAGTGTGAATTTTCTACCTTTGTGACTTTATCAGGGGTCTAGGACAGTAAACCGCCATCTAACTGGCTGCTTGGGCTGATCTTATGATTTCCCATCCTTCCCTATTGTAGGTATCATCTTAGAAAAGGGGATTGCTTGCAAATCTGTCCTCTTGAAGTAGGAAGGTTCTTTAATCACTAATATCTAAGTAAACAACACAAACTTCAGGGCAACTATCAGCTGCCATTTGCATTTGGAGTCCATAAACCTCCATTTTATATTTAGTTCCTAGCTGCTTACCTTAAACAGTAGATGTCTCTCTCCAAGCTTTGCCTACTGCTTTTGAGCTGAATATTTTGCCCTAATGTTATCATTACTTTAAGACTGACATTTTGTTTACTTACATTGCTGTAAACATTGCCTATATCAAGCCAGCTCTACCAAGACTGGGTCACTGTTGCAGCAAGTAGACTCACCTTAGCACCATGACCTTTGATTGCAGATGCATTGATCAGGAATTATGTCACACTTCATTTTATTTGGTGTGGTTTTTTTGTGATGTAGTGAGATCTGTAACTCACAATATGAGGGTGGCAGAGAGCCAGGTCATGATTTCAGAGAAACCATAGGTTGGTTGTGGCAATTGTGTTGACCCTCCAATGGGTTTCAGTAGATCTGCATATGATGTCCCTTATTCCTGTTAACCAGGGATATTTTATGTGATTTCTATGATTTTGAGATCAGATGTAATTCCTTCATGGGATTTGCAGGTGGTTATGGATAAGTTGAGTCTATTATAAGGGAAATTTTGGTATGAGTGACTTTTGAAAACCTCCTATTATATTTCTTTCCACGTGTTTAATAACTTCATGTCATCCCTGTCCATAAGAGTGTAACATGGGTTAAACCTGCTTCAGAACTTACCTCGGTGAGGGGTTAGATCACTAAGACCTTACAATCTTATATTACTGTATATAACTTATCTGCTGCATTAACAATGTTGCACTGGGGAATTGTCATGTTATTTTTATTTAAGCTCTGTTGAATTTGAGATGTGTTACATAGTGTCTTATTGCTCTCATGGTATGGGATGGTGATTATTTGATCGCACGTAACCAGTATTTGCTACATGCTTGGACTGTTTCATGGTTAAAGAAGGATATTATGCAGGAGTTGTGTTGAGATATCTCCTCTGGTTAGGTTTGTTTTTGTGATTTAGAAAACTACATGTCCATTTTATATCCATTATTATACAGTATGTACAGTAAAGCCTCGAATAACGACGGTAATGTGTCCTCCAATATTGCAGTGTAAGGTGAATCATCGCATCGTGAATCATTAATTACCAGTAAAATAAAGCAATAATAATGAGATACTACGTTCCCAAGTGTGACCTTTTCATATCTTTTGTGTGGCTTTTCACCCTCTTTTCCCCAAAACAATAAAATTTATGAAAAATTCAAACTATATTCTTTAAATAATGTTTATGAATGCACCCTTATACAATAGTATAAATGAATAATAATATGGTCACACAAGAGGAGATGGAACGCCATTGTTTTCGTTATTGTTTACACCCAGAACGAGGGTTCTACATAAGAAAAGGAAGAAAATTAGACTGGTTGTAGCTGTATTAAAATTAATGTAAAAAATGAATATATATGTTTTAAGTATAATGGTATTTAATGTTAATAAATGGAACAATAGATGTATCTAACCATTAATGGCAAAGAAAAAAGCGAGATGGATTGGGAACGTCAAAATATACTTGCGCATTCAAGGAAACATAGCGTCATTTATCTTAAGAATGCAATACCGTATGTACAAAAGATTCATTATTGTTTATCACTGAATATTTATTTGATTTAATTAGTCTTTATATATGCAAAATGAACAATACAATTCCTTAATACTATGTAGATTATTAAAACACACAAGAGGAGAAGAGACGGCATTGTTTTAGTGAGTGACGATGGTTCTACATAAGAAACTGAAGAAAATAAGACCCTGGTTGTAACTGTAGTAAACTTAAGGTAAAAAAAATTAATACCTGTATGTATGTTTTAAGTACTGTACTTATGTTATTTAATGTTAATAAATGGAACAATAGAAGTAGCTAACCACTAATGGTAAAGAAATAAAGCAAGACGGATTGGGAACGCCAATGTATGTAATTGCGTTCATGTGAAAACTTATCGTCATTTCTATACATAAGAATATGAAAGCAACACTTATTTACTGTTCATATATGATTTAATAATACTTACGAATGTAAAACAAAAATTCTACTCCCCAATGGTGGTAAAGTCTAAAACATAAGGACAGCCAATGAATGTTGTGCGAGTTTTTACTCAGATGACGAAGTCATCAGGTTCAACTCTGGCTGAAGCTGTAAGTTCAACTCTGGCTGA